CTGCAGCCTCGACCTGCTGGGCTCTAGCGATCCTTCCGCCTCAGCCTTCCGAGTAGCTGGGACTACAGGCGTGCGCTACCACGCCCAACTAATTTTTTGAATTATTATAGAGATGAGGTCTCGCCAAGTTGCCCAGACAGGTCTTGGACCCACGGGCTCAGGCAATCCACTCACTTCAGCCTCCCAAAGCGTGGGATTACAGGCTGAGCCACCGAGCCCGGCTCTAACTTTTTGATTTATTGTAGAGACGAGGTCTTGCCAAGTTGCCCAGACTGGTCTCGAACCCCTGGACTCAAGCAATCCTCTCTCCTCTGCCTCCCAAAGTACTGGGATTATAGGCATGAGCCATCATGCCCGACTGAGATCCTGTCTCTTAAAAAAAAAAGACGAAGAAAAACCAAAAGCTTAGTTGATTGTTGAATCACATACATCAACTGATACTTTTAAAAAAACAGCGTTGACTTATACTCCAAGTATTGTTTTAGAGTTTAGGCAATTTATGTAAGTAGTGTTTCAAGCCTCAAACCCATTAAAGCCAGATGATTTTCACAGGACAGGATTAAGAGAGCCAGTCTCATTGCTACCAGGAAATTATGATCTCTCTTCTCTGGCTTCAAGTACTGAGTGTTTTAAAAACATGAGGCGTTTTCTTTGGCCTCAGATCCAACTGATGTCCATTTTAACGAGGAAGTTCATATTTCTGATCTTACTTTTTTTTTCTTGTAAAGAGGGACTTATGTGCTTTTGTGGTACAATTTTTTATAAGCAAAATATGTTTATGCTATTTTTATTAATGTGCATTTTTATAGTAATATAATTAGTGTATACTTTATATTAAGAGCATGTTAATAGTGTAACAAAAAATTAAGAGCATGTTAATAGTGTAACAAAAAATAAAAAATAGTGAAATACCAGGAGGATCACACGTTGACCAAAGCATGTCTGGAAAACGCTGAGGGTGTCAAGGAAATGGAAACACTGGGGTTCCGTTTGTGGCTGTGGCTGTCGTTAACTTTTTATCACGGAAAATTTCAAACACTCCCCAAAATGGAGATTGCTTTAAATAATCCTGATGTTTCCATCACTCAGTTCCCATCACTCTACAGTCTGGTTCACCTGAGTCCTCCCTCCTCCCTCAAAATGATGGTTTTGAAGCAAATCCCAGCTAGACATTGTATCGCCCACTCTAGAAGATAAAGACTCTTGAAAAACAGTCGGGGGCAGGGCATGGTGGCCCATGTCTGTCATCCCAGCACTTTGGGTGTCTGTGGAGGGAGAATCGTTGAGCCCAGGAGTTCGAGACCAGCTTGAGTAACATAGCGAGACCTGATCTCTACAAAAAATAAAATAAAGTTAGCCAGGCGTGGTGGCATGGGCCTGTAGTCCTAGCTACTTGGTAGGCTGAGATGGAAGGATCGTCTGAGTCCAGGTGCCTGAGGCTTCAGTGAACCGTGATGCCACTGTGCTCCAGCCTAGGCAACAGAGTGAGGCCCCGACTCCAAAACCAAACAAGCAAACAAAAAATAAAACTAGAAACTGTCCAAGGCCGTCATCAGTCAGGAGATCTGACCCGGAAGATACCCTGTGAATCTGGGGTCGGTGTCCACACCCCGGGGTTTTGGCAGTCCCCACGCCCCGGAGGCTCCTGGCCTGGTGTCGTGGCCTCCTGGCGGCCAGCACAGACCGGGGGACTGCACCCTGTCCTCACCTGCCCTCTCTCTGCCTAGAAACCCCCCTGGACGGGCTCCCCCGGCACAGGTGCTGGCAGGTCTGCTGTGACGTGCGCCTCCTGTTCCCATGGCAGCAGCCCCAGGCCCCTCTCCAGGATGAGCCGCCGGCCTCAGGGCGGGGAGCCAGCCTCTTGGCTCTGCTGCTGCCCCTTGGCCTCCTGACCCTCCTGCAGGCTGTCATGAGGCTCCTCCGGTAAGCAGGTGGGCATGGATGACCGCAGGTGGCCCTGGTGTAGTGATGCCACCTGGGAGGATGTGGGAGAAGACTGAGAAACCAGACAGCCGCTGCGCTGTATCTCTCCCCCGACATGGGCTCTGCCTCTGTCTACAGCCCAGAGATGCCGCCTCACCCTTCTTTCTTCATCTCTTCCCTGTCCCCAAGTTCCGAAACTGCCCTGCTCCCACAAAAACACCCGGTCCCAATTTTCTACGTGTCCATCATCCTCTGGGCTCTGAGCATTCCTTGGGGTGGGGACCTGCAGCCTGGCCCCAGCCCCGCCACCAGCCTCCAAGTGGGAAGGCCCTCCCTGGGCCTCCAGCTCCTGGCCCTGGGTGTGGCTCCTGGAATTCTCTGGGTTCATAGCCACGGTTTCCTGCAGGGTCTTTCCCCCTTGAAGCCTCCAGGGCCAGCCTTGGGTCCCAGCAGGGCCCCCGAGGCAGCGGCTTCCTGTCCCCTTCACTCTCCGGCTCTCAGAAAAGCCTCCCCTCTGCTAGCACTGCCCAGGGCCCAGCCCAGTGCTCATGTGACGTCTGTGTGAAGGTCATGCAAATCCCACGCATGTAGACGTGCAGGTGCATGCCGTAGAGGAGTACATACCATTCCCATCTCCATGCATTGCTCACCAGTCGTCTCCTCCCTCAGTTGTAAGAGGAAGATTCTAGAAGACCCACCCAATTTTCCAGCTGTTCACAGCAGAGGCAGGCTGTCCTTGCTGGAGCACCCTCGCCCTTCCTGCTTGTCCTTCCCCTGGAGTTGGACGCTGCCATTGCCTCCAGCTCCTTGCAGTCACAAATGCTGCCAGGACACGTGTCCCTGTGAGAGCTCCACGTGTATCCCGTGGGTCCTGCGGTAGCCTCTCTGCCATGCACTGGGAAGGGCCTAGAGTGGATCTGTGGGTTCTGCATTGTCTCCCAGTGCCAGAGTGCACAGCATGCAAGGGCAGCTTGCAAGACTTCCCTTCCTTGTTGTTTTTTTTTAAGATTTATATTTTAAAAAACATTTGCCCACTCCATGATCAGATATGGTTGGACACCTCTGTGCCCTCTAGGAGAGCAAAGAGGGAAACTGACTGAAGGATCCATGTTAGGCGGGTGGGGATGGGGCCCAAGGGGAATCCAGCTCTGCTGCAGGCTTGAGTGGTCTGGTGAGCTTCAAGCGGAGGAGGAGGAGGAGGA